ACTGTAACATTGTATGTGTAGAAATGTGTATAGTCCACACTGTAACATTGGATGTGTAGAAATGTGTTTAGTCCACACTGTACCATTGTATGTGTAGAAATGTGTATAATCCACACTGTAACATTGTATGTGTAGAAATGAGTATAGACCACACTGTAACATTGTATGTGTAGAAATGTGTATAGACCACACTGTAACATTGGATTTGTAGAAATGAGTATAGACCGCACCGTAACATTGTATGTGTGGAAATGAGTATAGACCACACTGTAACATTGTATGTGTAGAAATGTGTAAAGACCACACCGTAACATTGTATGTGTGGAAATTAGTATAGACCACATTGTAACATTGTATGTGTAGAAATGTGTATAGACCACACCGTAACAGTGTATGTGTAGAAATGTGTGTAGTTCACACTTTAACAGTGTATATGTAGAAATGAGTTTAGACCACACTGTAACATTGTATGTGTGGAAATTAGTATAGTCCACACAGTAACATTGTATGTGTGGAAATTAGTATAGACCACACTGTAACATTGTATGTTTAGAAATGAGTATAGACCACACTGTAACATTGTACGTGTAGAAATGTGTATAGTCCACATTGTAACATTGTATGTGTAGAAATGAGTATAGACCACACTGTAACATTGTATGTGTGGAAATTTGGGATTGGACCACACCGTAACATTGTATGTGTGGAAATGATTATAGACCACTTTGTAAAATTGTATGTGTAGACATGTGTATAGTCCACACTGTGACATTGTATGTGTGGAAATGAGTATAGTCCACACTGTAACATTGTATGTGTAAAAATGTGTATAGTCCACACCGTAACATTGTATGTGTGGAAATTAGTATAGACCACACTGTAACAGTGTATGTGTAGAAATGAGTATAGACCACACTGTGACATTGTATGTGTAGAAATGAGTATAGACTACACTATAACATTGTATGTGTAGAAATGTGTATAGACCACACTGTAACAGTGTATGTGTAGGAATGAGTATAGACCACACTGTAACATTATATATGTAGAAATGTGTATAGACCACACCGTAACATTGTATGTGTGTAAATGTGTATAGTTTACACCGTAACAGTGTATGTGTGGAAATGTGTATAGTCCACACTGTTACATTGTATTTGTAGAAATGTGTATAGACCACACTGTAACATTGTATGTGTGGAAATTAGTATAGACCACACTGTAACATTGTATGTGTAGAAATGAGTATAGACCACACCGTAACATTGTATGTGTAGAAATTAGTATAGACCACACCGTAACATTGTATGTGTGGAAATGTGTATAGTCCACACTGTTACATTGTATTTGTAGAAATGTGTATAGTTCACACTGTAACATTGTATGTGTGGAAATTAGTATAGACCACACTGTAACATTGTATATGTAGAAATGTGTATAGACCACACCGTAACATTGTATGTGTAGAAATTAGTATAGACCACACTGTAACATTGTATGTGTGGAAATGTGTATAGTCCACACTGTTACATTGTATGTGTAGAAATGTGTATAGACGACACTGTAACATTGTATGTATAGAAATGTGTATAGACCACACTGTAACATCGTATGTGTAGAAATGAGTATAGACCACACTATAACATTGTATGTGTAGAAATGAGTATAGACCACACTATAACATTGTATGTGTAGAAATGTGTATATACCACACTGTAACAGTGTATTTGTAGAAATGTGTATAGTTCACACTGTAACATTGTATGTGTGGGAATTAGTATAGACCACACTGTAACATTGTATGAAATGAGTTTAGACCACACTGTAACATTGTATGTGTGGAAATATGTATAGTCCACACTGTAACATTGTATGTGTAGAAATGTGTATAGACCACACCGTAACATTGTTTGTATGGAAATTAGTGTAGATCACACTGTATTAGTATAGTCCACACAGTAACATTGTATGTGTGGAAATTAGTATAGGCCACACTGTAACATTGTATATGTAGAAATGTGTATAGCCCACACCGTAACATTGTATGTGTGGAAATGCGTATAGACCACACTGAAACATTGTATGTGTGGAAATATGTATAGTCCACACTGTAACATTGTATGTGTAGAAATGTGTATAGACGACACTGTAACATTGTATGTATAGAAATGTGTATAGACCACACTGTAACACTGTATGTGTGGAAATGTGTATAGTCCACACTGTAACATTGTACGTGTGGAAATTAGTATAGACCACACTGTAATATTGTATGTGTGGAAATTAGTATAGACCACACTGTAACATAGTACATCTAGAAATGTGTATAGACCACACCGTAACATTGTATGTGTGGAAATGTGTATAATCCACACTGTTTCATTGTATTTGTAGAAATGTGTATAGTTCACACTGTAACATTGTATGTGAGGAAATTAGTATAGACCACACTGTAACATTGTATATGTAGAAATGTGTATAGCCCACACCGTAACATTGTATGTGTAGAAATGAGTATAGGCCACACTGTAACATTGTATGTGTAGAAATGAATATAGACCACACCGTAACATTGTATGTGTAGAAATTAGTATAGAATGTGTGGAAATGTGTATAGTCCACACTGTTACATTGTATGTGTAGAAATGTGTATAGACGACACTGTAACATTGTATGTATAGAAATGTGTATAGACCACACTGTAACATCGTATGTGTAGAAATGAGTATAGACCACACTATAACATTGTATGTGTAGAAATGTGTATATACCACACTGTAACAGTGTATTTGTAGAAATGTGTATAGTTCACACTGTAACATTGTATGTGTGGGAATTAGTATAGACCACACTGTAACATTGTATGAAATGAGTTTAGACCACACTGTAACATTGTATGTGTGGCAATGAGTATAGACCACACTGTAACATTGTATGTGTAGAAATGAATATAGACCACACCGTAACATTGTATGTGTAGAAATGAGTATAGACCACACTATAACATTGTATGTGTAGAAATGAGTATAGGCCACACTGTAACATTGTATGTGTAGAAATTAGTATAGATCACACTGTAAAATTGTATGTGTAGAAATGAGTATAGACCACACTATAACATTGTATGTGTAGAAATGTGTATATACCACACTGTAACAGTGTATTTGTAGAAATGTGTATAGTTCACACTGTAACATTGTATGTGTGGGAATTAGTATAGACCACACTGTAACATTGTATATGGAGAAATGTGTATAGACCACACCGTAACATTGTTTGTATGGAAATTAGTGTAGATCACACTGTATTAGTATAGTCCACACAGTAACATTGTATGTGTGGAAATTAGTATAGGCCACACTGTAACATTGTATATGTAGAAATGTGTATAGCCCACACCGTAACATTGTATGTGTAGAAATGTGTATAGTCCACACTGTTACATTGTATTTGTAGAAATGTGTATAGTTCACACTGTAACATTGTATGTGTGGGAATTAGTATAGACCACACTGTAACATTGTATATGTAGAAATGTGTATAGACCAAACCGTAACATTGTATGTGTAGAAATTAGTATAGAATGTGTGGAAATGTGTATAGTCCACACTGTTACATTGTATGTGTAGAAATGTGTATAGACCACACTGTAACATTGTATGTATAGAAATGTGTATAGACCACACTGTAACATTGTATGTGTGGAAATTAGTATAGGCCACACTGTAACATTGTATATGTAGAAATGTGTATAGACCACCCCGTAACATTGTATGTGTAGAAATTAGTATAGATCACACTGTAAAATTGTATGTGTAGAAATGAGTATAGACCACACTATAACATTGTATGTGTAGAAATGTGTATATACCACACTGTAACAGTGTATTTGTAGAAATGTGTATAGTTCACACTGTAACATTGTATGTGTGGGAATTAGTATAGACCACACTGTAACATTGTATATGGAGAAATGTGTATAGACCACACCGTAACATTGTATGTGTGTAAATGTGTATACTCCACACTGTAACATTGTATGTGTAGAAATGTGTATAGTCCACACTGTTACATTGTATTTGTAGAAATGTGTATAGTTCACACTGTAACATTGTATGTGTGGAAATTAGTATAGGCCACACTGTAACATTGTATATGTAGAAATGTGAATAGACCACACCGTAACATTGTATGTGTAGAAATGAGTATAGACCACACCGTAACATTGTATGGGTAGAAATTAGTATAGACCACACTGTAACATTGTATGTGTAGAAATTAGTATAGATCACACTGTAAAATTGTATGTGTAGAAATGTGTTTAGTCCACACTGTAACATTATATACGTAGAAATGTGTATAGACCACACTGTAACATTGTATGTGTAGAAATGAGTATAGACCACACTGTAACATTATATGTGTAGAAATGTGTATAGTCCACACTGTAACATTGTATGTTTGGAAATGAGTATAGACCACACTGTAACACTGTATGTGCAAATGTGTCTAGTCCTCATTGGATTTTTTTTTATTTTTATTTTTTATTTTTATTTTTATTTCTTTAAAATAATTGTATTTGCATAATGTATCCAGTCTTCGATATTTAAGCATGGAACTGTTTTTGTATGGCATTTATGATATATTTGAATAACCCAGCTTAGCAAGCAAACAACATGAAGCGGGCTCCGCATTTCATGTTTTTTAACTCACAAATTATATTTGTAATTGAAAATTTCCGCCTTATTGTCCAGTTTTTGTTCAATTAGTGGAACATCGTAATGTCGCGTGCTGATTGGCTGAGAATTGTGTCTCATGGTGAATTTCATTTAAATTCTCGTCAAACAGGTTATCTAGTTACAATGCCATGCAAATGTAAATATAACATTTTATGATGTGCAGAATGTGTCTAGTCCACAATGTTACATTTTATGACCTATGGAAATGTAGATACATTAGCCACTGTGGATTAAACATTTGTATTTAATGTTTGGTTACAGGGTCGCCAAGATACAGTATAATACTAGCAGCCTCCTCTTCAGGTGATGTACAATGGGCCAGCTACTCCACAATGGTTGCTATAGCTGTGATGGTGACAACAGGAGTGTTTAGCTGATGTTTATATCGAGCATGACGTCATCTAATCCTAGCTATATATAGATGACAACATGTATAAGATGAAATAAATCTGAATCACGAACCAGATTTTGCTTTAAGATGAGATATGACAGGTCATAACGTCACAGAAATAAAAAAAAAACACTAGAAAGCCAGTTATGATAATAAACCACTTAATTGTTTCTTAGTACAAGAACACTAGTCAAGGCTATCTTAATTATTTTTTATTTGCTACATGTCTTTGAATATTTTCACATTGATAACTCACATTGTTGTTATCATTTAATTTTAGTACCTTGCGTTTGTTATGAATTGTCAATATGGTGTTCTTTTTATGTTTTTGTAAATAAAGTATTAGGAAATGTTAGTATGTCGACATTCACCGACAGATGTCTTAGAAGAACAGCTATATTTCCTCTGATGCCAAATCTACCACGTCCGTACGTGTTGTAGCGACAACTATCACCAGTCAAAATGTCCGTTGAATATCATTAAAAAGCTATTAAAATTTTCTTAACTGCCAATGTGTTGACAGAAATATCATCAGAATTAAAATATTAACTTAGATCAAATCTAAGTCCATGCTAATATCGAAATATACCGGTAATGAGGTAAATTTGAAAATTAAACAAGAGGCCCATGGGAATACACAATCATCTCATGCAGTCATAAAACAATTGTTATTTGTAGTTGTGGTAGACTAAAAGACCCATGGGCCTTAACAGTACCATAATCTTAACAGTTCCTTGGGTCTTAACAGTCACCTAATCGTAACAGTCCCCTAATCTTTTCTTTTTTTTATCATATTTTATTTTTGATTGTTCACATGTTAGTATACAGTGGAGTACATGACAATTATTACATTGTATTTCATATTGTCTCGCATACTAATGAATTCTTTTTCATTTTGTTTCTTTTTCCTGTACATTAACAACTGCTTGTGCTCTTATTTTTAGGTAGTAAATAATGATTAACCTCGATATTAAGAATGAGCAAAATATGAATTTAAATTCAATTAATCAATGTTCAATGCTGTGCTGATAATGGCCCACTCCGCTACTACTTGGTCGGATATGACAGGATACATTGATTTTCAATTAGCTTAGTTGGCATGGTATGGTTGTTTCTGCATTAGTAAATATATTTCTTTATGATGATGATACACATATTCACACTTTCATTTTCAGGAGTGTCATCTATTCCGAATATAAAGGAAATATTTGACCATGGAAAATCAATATTACAACTAGTTACAAATTGTTGTCTTAAAAATGACCATAACGCACGTGTATGAGGACAATCCCAAAATAAATGCGTCAGCGTTTCTCTATTTACCGTACAAATATTACAAATTTCTGTAATGTTCATTTTCATTAGTCTAGAGTTTGTATAGAGTATTCCATGTAGCAATTTAAATTGAAAAGTTTGTAGTGTTGTGTCATCTGTTATATTGAAGCACNATTACAAATTTCTGTTTCTGTAATGTTCATTTTCATTAGTCTAGAGTTTGTATAGAGTATTCCATGTAGCAATTTAAATTGAAAAGTTTGTAGTGTTGTGTCATCTGTTATATTGAAGGGTAGTTTGAAGTACATCTTCCAACTGTCATTTGTTATATCTAATCCCATTTTCCTTTGCCATTTTTGCATAGATGAAATAGGGAGATCTAGATATTGATTGACCAATACTGCATAAAAATCTCTAGTTATCTTTTCTTTCCCTTTTAGTATTTGTATATATTTGTTTTCTGGTACATCAATATTTTTCTTGTATGTTTTAATCACATTTTTCCATGAATTTGGGATAGATGCTAGTAAGCCATAGTACTCAACGAAGTTAATTTGGATATCATATTGAAGTTTAAGTAGATTCACATCAATAAATTCACCCCTGTCATTAACTAAGTCTTTAATGAAGAAAATGTGATTTTCTACCCACCTTTGATACAGTACATATTGTTTGTTTATCTTAATTTTATTGTTAAACCATATTGGTTGTAATAGTATTTCCGCCGGGGTTGTGGGTGGAGTACGCTCTATAGAACCCCATATTTTAAAAATATTACTCCATAAAGGATTGAAGTGATCTGCTATGTTGTTTTGGCCCTCGCTATTCATGTACCAAATGGACTCGCCCCCAAATTTTTGAAGTTAATCAGAAATTAAATTTTGCCAAGGATAATTGTTGTTTGGGTTTAGTATTTTTTGTATCCATGTCATTTTTAGTGCTTGGCAGTATGAATTTACATGAGTGAGTCTAAGGCCTCTATTCTCGTATGAGTTTATTATTACATTCCTTTTAATCTTGTCAATTTTCCCCGACCATAAAAAAATAAAAAATAGTTTTTGGAGGTTGTTAATGAACACATCAGAAGGGTCTGGAAGTACTGTAAAAATATGTGTGAATATTGGGAGTGCTAGTGTCTTGATCACCGTGACTTTCCCTATGTAACTAAGATTTCTAAAAGACCAGTCATTTAATAGTTTTTTAACAGATTCAAATTTTTCTTCAAAGTTTTGTAATGTTACATCCTCCTGGTTCAGATCATATGTGATCCCAAGGAGCTTAAACTTCCCTCTGTGATTCCAAAAAATATTCTTTTCTTGCAAGTATTCCACCCCAAAACCCCGCTTTGCCCCTAGCCAAACTACATGGGTTTTTCCTAAATTTAATTTCAATCCAGAGCATTCAGCAAAATAATCTAAAGTAACAAATGTTTCCTTTAGAGATTGTTCATCATCTTCAAGACAGAGTGTTGAATCATCTGCATATTGACTTAGTAGGTATTCAGAGTGGTCAATATTAAGCCCTTTAATATCAGGGTTAAATTTTAAGGAACTGCTTAGTAATTCCACAGACAAAATGAACAAATATGGGGAAAGAGGGTCCCCTTGTCGAACTCCTCTTTTAATGTCAAAAAATCTTGATCCGTGACCATTATTATAAATACAACTTGTAATATTTTTGTAAAAAGTTTTTATCCACCGTCTAATAATAGGTCCAAATCCTTGAAACGTTAGAGCTTTTTGTATAAAATGCCATTCTAGAGAGTCAAATGCTTTTTCGAAATCTAATAGAATAAGTAGCCCTGGAATATCTTTTTCATTAGTCTTTTCAATAAGATCAAGAATAAGACGTGTACATTCACCTATATATCTACCTTTAATGAACCCTTTTTGAGTATCGCTGATTAAATCTTGTAAAACTGGTTTTATTCTATTTGCAATACTT